GGCCAAGCTATGAAGACAGGGGTGGGAGGGGGTGGATCTGTTCCGCAGGGAACAGAGGAACCCATCCCAGAGGGCATTGACCAAAAGAGAAAGACCTGGGTTAGCATCTGGAACCTGAAGAGAAGCCAGCGCCCTAGGGGGAGTGACTGTATGCGTGTATGGATCAGCAAAAAGGCAGAAGGTGATGATGGAGCCTTTGGCTCCTGGAGAATGGTGCATAAAACAGCCAATGATCTCATGGGCCAGACAGACTGGTACTTGGAAATCCTAATTCACAAACAAGCTACATTCACCCAGTGTCTGTCATGAGCTAGGCACTATGCTAACCACTTTACGGGCATTATTTCACACTAAAATATGGGTGTGGGTATCTCCATTCTACAAATGAGGAAACTGAGGCTCAGAGAGGTCAAATTACACTGTCAGTGAAGGTCAGGTATACCCAATTCATGCTTTTAAGATGGTGCCTTACAAATCCATTTAGGACCCAAAGGGCCCTGGAACACAGAGCAGCTTCTGGACAATATGAAATTGGAGCTGCCCGGAATTCCAGGGTTGAAAGAGGTCCCAGAGAGAGTATCCTTTGTCCAAACCTTGTAGGTAAATCCTCCTATAGCTTCTGCCTCCACCTGGAAGACCCTTCCAGAAATGATCAAGATACAGAACCATTGTCTTATACCACTTTCCTGCCTATGGGAATTTCCCAACATTAGACAATTCAGTTGGCCCTCAAACCCTCAAAAACATCAGGGAAAATCCAGAGGTTCCTACGTTGCCAGCCACTATTGTCCTATCACCCGTTAACCTGAGAATCATTTTCAAGGTACGGATCATGTGAGTTAGGAATGCTTTAGGCTGCAATGAACAAAATACTTGGTGACTGCCTTAAACAACAGTGACTCTTGTTATTTCACGTAACATGATGTCTGGAAGTAGGAAGTTCCAGGGATGGGGCAGTAGCCAACAGTGTCAATTAGGACCTAATTTTTTCCCCATCTTTCCTTTTTACTGTCTTTAGTGTGACAGTGATATTTCTCCTCATAGTCACGGAATGGTTGCCACTGCACCAACTATCATTCATGCTTTCACAATAATTCCTAAAAGCAGAGGTGAGAGGAACACATACAAACTCTCACTTTTTATTTTATTTTTAAAAATTTTTTGAGATGGAGTCTCACTCTGTCACCCAGGCTGGAGTGCAGTGGCTCCATCTTGGCTCACTGCAACCTCCATCTCTTGAGCTCAAGCAATTCTCCTGCCTCAGCCTCTTGAGTAACTGGGATTACAGGCACCTGCCACCAGGCCTGGCTAAGTTTTGTATTTTTAGTAGAGCAGGGGTTTCACCATGTTGGCCAGGCTGGTCTTGAACTCCTGACCTCAAGTAATCTGCCTGCCTGGGCCTTCCAAAGTGCTGGGATTACAGGCTTGAGTCATCGTGCCAGGCCCAAGTTCTCACTTTTTGTCACAAAGGAATGGAATTGACTTCTCCTTATGTCTCATTGGCCACATCTGGGTTACATGTCCGTCCTCAGACCAATCATTGGCAAAGGAACTGGGGTTACCATGATTAGCAGGAACCAGTCATGAGTCATCCTCTGGGACTGGGCACATTGAGTGGGGACAAAATCAGATTTGTGTTAGGAAGAAAGAAGTTAGGGTCTGCTCAGGCATGCTAGCTGCTGTAACAAATACACCCCCACATTTCATTCACTTAACACAACAGGAGTTAATTTCACATTTGTGTAACAATCCGATGAGGATGTTCATGGTCGGCAGGTGACTTCTACAAGTTGATCTGGGGACCTGACTTGTGGCTCTGTCTTCCATAAATGTCAGATGGGGCCAGAAAGGTTGGAAAAGTCACATCCGCTTCTTAAAAGTCATGGTCTGGAAGTGACAGACTTCACCTCTGCTCACATCCTATTGGTGAGAATTCATCATAGAGCCCTGCCTGGATCAGAGAGGAGCAGGGTAACTCAAGCACCAATGCCGCACAAAGGGAAGTGACTGTTGGGGAGGCAATGAACTGATTTCTTCCAGGCTGATCTTATCTCATCCTTGCTTTTAAAAAGCATCCAGGCCAGGTGTGGTGGCTGACACCTGTCATCCCAGCACTTTGGGAGGCCGAGGTAGGTGGATCACCTGAGGTCAGGAATTCGAGACCAGCCTAATCAACATGGTGAAACCCCATCTCTACTGAAAATACAAAATTAGCTGGGCATGATGGCGCATGCCTGTAATCCCAGCTACTTGGGAGACTGAGGCAGGAGAATCGCTTGAACCCAGGAGGCAGAGGTTTCAGTGAGCTGAGGTCACGCCATTGCACTCCAGCCTGGGCAACAAGAACAAATTTCTGTCTCAAAAAAAAAAAAAAAAAAAAAAAAAAAAAAAAAAAAAAAAAGGCCGCATCCGGTCTCTTTGCTAGCCACTTTCCACTAGACGCGGCCACCTTTCCTTGCCCACACACCATTCCCTGAACATTCCCTTCATCCACTTCCTTCTCACTCTTTGCCCAGGCAGTTCTCTCTGCCCATAACTCTCCTCACCAACTTTTCTTCTCTGCCTGGTGAACTCCTATTCATTTTTCAAAACCCAAGTTAAAAGCCATCTTCTTTGTGGAGCCTTTTTCACTATTTTGTCCTAGGCAGGATTTATGGGACTTTGCAGGTTGACTTACCACTGAATTCCACACCCTGTGTAGCACACAGTAGAGGCTCAGTTTATGTGCTAAATAGAGGTAAGTACTTCAGGTATGAGAACTCATTTGGTTGCAAGCAACAGAAAATGCATCTCAGGTTGCTGTAATGGAATATATTGATTTCTGTAATTGGACATTACCCAGAGGTATGTTCAGATTTGGCTAAATGCTGGTGATTGGATAATGTCCTGTCCTCAAGGTTGCCTGTCTTCATTTCGTCTTCTTCCCTCCGTTTTAGCTTGGTTCTCAGCCTCTTGCAGACGCAAGATGGCTGTCAGCCTCTCCTGACCTTATCCACTGAGGTTCAAGCGCAGCAGGAAACAAAGTCTCTCTCTCCTTGAGTGTTCCAGCTTAAATTCCACCATTCACTCTGCTTTGACTAGCTAGCTTCATGTGCCCATCCGCCACCCCCCCCAAGAAATCCCAGGCTAGAATGCTGAGGTCATGCAAATTGGCCAGGGGTCTTGCACTCTGATTGGCTCATCCAGAGTCAGATGCCCCAATCCTGAAGGTGGAGGGGTATGGTCCGCCCCCAGGAGTTCGGAAACTTGTGGCTTCCCATGGGAACTTCAGGGTATTGTTACCAGGAGATAGAGGAACACCCCTCTCACCCTCATCAACATTCAGCATCCTGGACCTTCTGAAACCATCCATATCCTGCCATATCATCCCAGCCACTGTGCACTGAGCACTTACTACATGCCAGGCACAGTGCTGAGTGTCTTACACACTCAATGACATGGCTTCTAGAATTTCTCCCATTTTCCAGACGGGGAAACTGAGGTCTAGAGAACTGAAGTGACTTGCCCAAGCTCTATAAGTGGCTCTGGAGAAATTTGAAATGACATCCAACGACGATCACAACCAATGCTTTACACCACTGCATTGCAGGACCCTCAGTGGTGGCAAAGCTGGAATTTCTGCATTTGGAACCCAGCTCCTGCAGTCTGGAATTGGCTGTGTAGTGGGTCTCACAACCTCAGAGGATGTGTGGGATTAATGCTGTTCCTTGCTCTGAATAACTGTGGGCCAGATGAAGTTCAAGTGGTGACATGATAGGAATACTGACACCTGCTCTGAGATGAGAGGGTGGGGGTTCCCCGACAGCTGCAGCTGAAATTGGCCACATTTCTGTTTAACCCCATCAGGGGACACACTGCCCCAATGCATTTTTTTTTTTTCCGAGATGGAGTCTCGCTCTGTCACCCAGGCTGGAGTGCAGTGGTGCGATCTTGGCTTACTGCAATCTCTGCCTCCAGGGTTCAAGTGATTCTCCTGCCTCAGCCTCCTGAGTAGCTGGGATTACAGGCGCGTGCTACCACGCCCGGCTAATTTTTTTTTTTTTTTTTTTTTGGTAGAGACAGGGTTTCACCATGTTGGCCACGCTGGTCTTGAACTCCTGACCTCAAGTGATCCACCCACCACCGCCTCCCAAAGTGCTGGGTTACAGGCATGGGCCACCGTGCCCCGCCCTCTGAAGCCATTTTGCCCCCTCTTTGGGAACACAGGGAGCAGGAGGGTAACTGACACATCAGAACCATCTGCCCAGCTCCTAATAATAAATGGTGAGAGAAACAGGTTCCGGGCAAACAATGATTTGAAAAAAATAAGTGCCTTTTGTCACACTCGGGTAGCCATCTGCGTATCCTCCTCATATGCCAAGCTGTGGGTGAAGGAAGGAGTGGCAGGGGGAGGGAGGAGGCGCCGTTCTGACCTGCACCCCCAGCAGGGGTGGCTCACAAGTTCTCTTCCTTTTGCCACAGTGGACAGGACATTGCAGAGAGAGAGAGGCAGGCTTGCTGGCTTTGAGCTCCCTGGGTACGGCGTCTGAACAGAGGTCAAGCGCGATTCCAAGATGCCCGGGGTAGGTGATGCCAGCTCCCGGCCACAGAGCGCCTACTATGGGCTCAGGCACTGTGCTGTCCACTTCACACATGTTAGCTCGTCTCATCCTGATGACAGATCTGTGCTCCCCCATTTCATAGGCGGGAGGCTGGAGGCTCAGAGACACCTAGTGACTCTCCCAAGTTTCCACTAGATGGCACAGCCAGAGCTTGAACCCAGAACTCCAACTAACACCCACCCCCCACCATAGTATGCAATTACAAGTCAGTCATCTCTCCACCGAGCAAGCCAGGGTGGGTTTTCCATGTAACAGACAAGCATCTGACATCACCCAAAGGAAGGTCTTCTACCTCTAGCCCTGGCCCAGCCAGCCCCACTGCCCTTCACCCTTAAGCCAAACTGTGGGCCTCTCTAGCCACCTGACCCACTATGACCTCCCCGTCCTCTCCATCTCCCCCAGTTGAAGAAGTACAGGAGGAAAGACTCCGACGCTCCTGAGGAACTTTCGGAGAAGGCCAAAGAGCAGCAGGCGGAAGCAGAGCTCCGAAAGCTAAGGCAGCAGTTCAGGAAGATGGTGGAAAGCCGGAAGTCTTTTAACTTCCGAAACCAGCAGAAGATCGAGAGTCAGTAGTAAGTGATGGGTGGCACTTCTCACGGAGTGGCCTTGGAGGCAAGGTGGGGTTGGGTTTCATGGTGCTTGTCTTCTGTCCTGTGACCTCTGGGGCAGGGAGCCACCTCTGAGCCCCGCTGGAGGACTCATGGTCTTTTATCTGCAGACTAGTTTTAAGAGAAAGCCACCTGAGATGGCTTCAGTGGAGAGGGCGAATTTATTGTCAGAATGCAGGGTGTTTCGGGGACCCCTGGGGGGCAGGGCACCCAGATCTCAGGGAAGGACCTAACTGAGGAAGGAGTTCTGGTTTTTGCTTTTCTCCACACATGACTTTTCTTCTTCTGTCTCTGAATTTCAGCCCCAGCTGGTGGGAAGTGGCTGCTCCATCTCTTAAGTTTACCAGCTGCACAGAGAGAGGGTCGTGCGTGAATCAATTCCAACCTCACATTCCAGGGAGTGGGAGAATCTGATAGGCTCAGCTTGGGTCAGGGGTCTCCTCCTGGTCCAATCAGTTGTGGCTTGAGGGTGCATGGGACACAGAAATGTCCGGGGCTGTCACTCCCTTTGTCCTACTAGGGAAGTAGAGGAGTTCCCAGAGAAGGCGGAAACTCCAAGGACGTTTCCTAATTGTGAGAACTGCAAGATAGAATATTTAAAATTGGGTTGTACCAGAAATTAGAGTGTATTGTTTCTTTTCTTTTCTTTTTTTTTTTGAGACAAGATTTTGCTTTTTATCACCCAGGCTGGAGTGCAATGGTGTGATCCCGGCTCACTGCAATCTCCGCCTTCCAGGTTCAAGCAATTCTCTGCTTCAGCCTCTCCAGTAGCTGCGATGACAGGTGCCCGCCACCACACCCAACTAGTTTTTGTATTTTTAGTAGAGGCGAGATTTCACCATGTTGGCCAGGCTGGTCTCGAACTCCTGACCTCAGGTGATCTGCCTGCCTTGGCCTCCCAAAGTTCTGGGAATACAGGCATGAGCCACCATGCCCGGCCTGAAAGGGATTCTTTAGATTTTCCATGAATTCAACTTACTCAGGGCCTGGTGTAGCCCATAAGAAGCCTCAATGTGAATTTTTTAAAAGGCACACTTTCTCAAGACACTTTACTGCCATCTACTGGAAAAATTGTCATTATACAGAGATTTTGTTAGAATAAAAAAGTGTCTCCCACAAAAGTGTAATAAATCTACAAAACAGTGATGTGTTTTCAAGCTGGTGGTGCTTCCTAGGGCTGTGCAGTCGACAACCTGCACATCTGTTCCTGGCTGGCCTGATTCTCAAGCCTACCTCTGGTGGGCCTCAGAAAATGCCTCCTTTGTGATGTATCTCTGACAGTTTTTCTTGAATTTAACCTTTCTCTACCCCAACCCTGCCCCACACACAGGGTTCTGGCTCTAAGTCAATTCATTTGATCTGGTTTTACTTTGATGGAACAGAAGGGGAGGAGGGTGGAAGAGTGGAGAGTTTAGGTTCTTATTATTTTACTTATTTATTTTTTGAGACGGAGTTTCTCTCTTGTTGCCCAGGCTGGAGTGCAGTGGCGCGATCTCGGCTCACCGCAACCTCTGCCTCTGGGTTCAAGCAATTCTCCTGCCTCAGCCTCCTGAGTAGCTGGGACTACAGGCGTACCAACACGCCTGGCTAATTTTGTATTTTTAGTAGAGATGGGGTTTCACCATGTTGGCCAGGGTGGTCTTGAAAGCCTGACCTTCTGATCTGCCTGCCTCGGCCTCCCAAAGTGCTGCAATTATAGGCATGAGCCACCGCCCCTGGCCCAAGTTTAGGCTCCTTAGAGTAAAACACCTATACAGTATTTAAGGAGGCACTTTCCCCCAGCACTGACCCTGGCTTACAACAGCCAGGGAGTAACTGAAGGTTTTGGGGGACCTTACTCCCTTTACACCAGACCCAGCCCTGCGTCAGGACAGACAAACCTTCCTTTTGTTTTTACCAACCCTCTCTGAAAACCTCTTTTTTTTGAGATGGAGTCTTGCTCTGTCGCTCAGGCTGGAGTGCAGTGGTGTGATCTGGGCTCACTGCAAACTCTGCCTTCCAGGTTCAAGCTATTTTCCTACCTCAGTCCCCTGAGTAGCTGGGACTATAGGCACCCGCCACCACACCAGGCTAATTTTTGTATTTTTAGTAGAGAAAGGGTTTCAACATGTTGGCTGGGCTAGTCTCGAACTCCTGACCTCGGGTGATCTGCCTCTCAAAGTGCTGGGATTACAGGCGTGAGCCACAGCGCCAGTAAATCTAACTCTTATAGTGTTACACTCTCTTTTCTCTCCACCTTAACAAAGACACCCCTCTGCCCACCTTCCAGGAGGGGCTTAAGCAGGGAAGGGAAGTCCCCAGGCCGGTTGAGAAGATAGCTGGTCACCGGCCCAATGTCACTATTTACATTTTTAATTAATTAACATAAATAAAAATAAAATAAAATTTAGTTCTGCTGCAAACGTGCAGCTCCAGTATTTCCAGTGTTCGGTAATCACTTGTGCCTCAGTGGATACTATGGGCCCTGCGGATAGAGAGCATTTCATCACTGCAGAACGTCCTGTTACAAAGGGGTCTGCAAACTTTGGCCAAATCTGGCTGGCTGCTGGTTTGTGCAAATAAAGTTCTACTGGCGCACAGCCACGCATATTGGTTTACTTTTTGGCCCTTTGTAGAAAAAGATTTGCCAGCTCCTGTCCCAGGACATTTTTTTTTTTTTAATTTGAGACAGGGTCTCACTCCGTCTCCCAGGCTGGAGTGCAGTGGCACGATCTCAGCTGCAACCCTCTGTCTCCTGGGCTCAAGTGATCCTCCCACCTCAGCTACCCTTTCTACTTTTTGTAGAGACAGGGCCTCGCTATGTTGCCTAGGCTGGTTGTGAACTCCTGAGTCAAGCAATCCTCCTGTCTCGGCCTCCCAAAGTGCTGACATTACAGGGGTGAGCCACTGCGCCGGGCCTGTAGAACATTCTTTACTGTTCTATAACAGTGTGTCCAAAACTTTTGAAGTATCTGGACACTTGATCTTGTAATGAAGCAGATTCTGATCCAATTGGTCCCAGGATGGGCACCTGAGATTCTGTATTTCTCCAAGCTGCCAAAGGACATTCATGCTACTGATCCGCAAACCACATTGAGCAAGGGTGTCAGTCTCCAGACTGCCAGAAACTCAGCCTCCATGCCATGTCCCCTTGTTCCGTTGTGCAGTCTTTCAAGCCCTCTTTGCTCTTTTCCAAATCCACCTGTTTACCCACATCCCAGTAAACAGGAGGCTCGGATTGGCCCATTTCATCATTAGCACTCCAAGCAGAGAAACTGGCGCAGCTTAGAGGCTGTTGTGCATCCTGTGTGGATGCAAACTTGAAAAACCCTGCTGGCCAGGCGTGGTGGCTCGTGCCCGTGATCTCAACACTTTGGGAGACTGAGGCAGGTGGATCACATGAGGCCAGGAGTTTGAGACTGGCCTGGCCAATATGGTGAAACCCATGTCTACTACAAATACAGAAATTAGCTGGGCATGGTGGCGCATAGTCCCAGCTACTCTGGAGGCTGAAGCAGGAGAATCGCTTGAACCCAGGAGATGGAGGGTGTAGTGAGCTGAGATCCCACCCCTGCACTCCAGCCTGGGTAACAGAGCGAGACTCTGCTTAAAAAAAAAAAAAAAATCCTGCCTGATGGTTTACTCCTCATTACTGGAGCTAATTGGTGGTGAAGTCTGGAAAGATGGTCTGCAGAATCAGACAGGTGCCAGGGAGCTGCTGGTGAAAGAGAACTTACCTCCATGTCTGGGTAATGGGTTTCGACAGGCACAGCTGCAAATTGTTCCCTAGGAAAAATACCTACCTCAGAGAAGGCAGGGCAGCGGGAAATCATGGTGAACCGGGTCTCAGGTGATCAGGCTTCCAGACCTGGAACTGAGACCTTGGACAAGTCTCTTTTGCCTTGTTGCTCATGTGGGAAGTTCCTCTCTCCACGTCTCCTTGTAGGGCTGATGTGCCTGGAGTGCTCTGTCAAGGTAAACTCAGGGGTAAAGTCAGGAGTTTGGGGTTAATCGTGGGCTGCTTTTCCAACAGCAAGGAGATCAAGACCCTGAAGGCAGAGCAGGATGAGCTCACCCTACTGCTGAGTCTCATGAAATCCTCGAGGAACGTGAATCAGAGTGAGAAGGACTACACGGAGCTGTGTTTCCTGCTGCAAGCCAAGGAGGACTACGAGGCCCTGATCAAATCCATGAAAGTGCAGCTGGCTGACCTGGATGAGAAGGTGTGGTCTTTCTCTTAAAGAGTTAACCAGAACACAGAGCAAAGGGGAGCAGTTGGGGTGCATATTCATGATGCCTTAGGCCAGACCTGACACCCAGACTCCCGGTATCTCCTCTGAACAGCCTGCTAAATGTGACTGCTGCTACTGTCTCTGCCACCCTTGAGACCTCTGGGCTCCAGTACCCAGGCTCAGCCTCACCAATCCATCCCTCCGCCCTGCTCCCCACCGCCGCCCGCCTCACATAGAATAAACCGCCACAGCCGCACCGTATTCTTTAGGAGACTTTTTTTTTTTAAATTGCATTTTAGGTTTTGGGGTACATGTGAAGAACATGCAAGATTGTGCATAGATACACACATGGCAGTGTGATTTGCTGCCTTCCTCCCCTTCACCTATATCTGGCATTTCTCCCCATGCTATCTCTCCCCAACTCCCCACCCCGCCGCTGTCCCTCCCCTATTTCCCCCCGAGGTTTGATTAACATGAATGCAGCCCCCTCCCGCATTCTCAGTGGTTTAAAACAGAAAGTTTAAGATTTCTTCCTTGTGGATGCTTTGTAACTGTTGTGGGTTGGCTAAGAGCCCTTGTATCTTCTCACATTGAGACTGGGCTGAAGGAGTTGCCACCATCTTGAACATTGCCAGGTGTTACAGGAAGGAGAGAGTTCTAGAGGGTTTCATGTCAGCAATTGAATGTTCCAGCCTGGAAGTGAAACATGTCACTTTTTTTTTGAAACAGAGTCTTACTGTGTTGCCCAGGCTGGAGTGCAATGACGCAATCTCGGCTCACCGCAACCTCTGCTTCTCCAGTTCAAGTGATTCTCATGCCTCAGCCCCCTGAGTAGCTGGGATTACAGGCGTGCACCACCATGCTGGCTAATTTTTGTATTTTTAGTAAAGATGGAGTTTCACCATGTCGGCCCGGCTGGTCTTGAACTCCTGACCTCAAGTAATCTGCCTGCCTTGGCTTCCCAAAGTGCTGGGATTACAGGCGTGAGCCACTGCAGCTGGCTGAAACATGTCACTTCTGCTCATGACCCAGGGGCTCAAAATAGTCGTGTTTTCTAATTATGGTAACAACAATAACAACCAAAAAAAAAAAAAAAAACCAAACAAAGAGAGAGAAAAGAAAAAGCAAGAGAAAACAGTCAATACTACCCATCCACAAAGGGGTCTGGGAAGTGCCACCCTCTCATCATCTAGAAGGCAAAGAGCTGAAGGTATTTGCAGGACAGCACTAATGGTCACGCGCCTTACCATGGCTTGAAAGGCCCTGCGTGATCTAGCCCCTGCCTCCCCCTTGGGCCCGCTCAGGACCTTTGCCTGAGCGTCCCCATTCCTACCCCTCCCCCACTCCCAGCCGTCCTGCAGGTCTCAGCTTAAATGTGCTTTCTCAGGGAGGCCTTTTCTGTGCCCCTTTCTAGTTTATACCCCCCTGTGTCCGTCAGGTTCCTGGCTGGGAACACAGAGCACCCCCAGCAGGGTACTTTGAGAAGAGTTTAATGCAGGGCCCGTTTGCAAGGGTGTAGGCAGGAGTAGGGATGTTGAAACACGGGTTCGCAATAGTGGGCGAGGGGGCTGTCGTCTGGAACTTGGAGAGCCCGGAGCAAGCCAGCGGAAATGGCTTCTCTTTCTTCCAACCCTCTGATCCTCAGTGCAAGGGAGCCCCTTGGGGATGCAGCCGGGTCAGCCTGTTGGGGCGCAGAGCAGTCGGGACGAGCAGGGATGCCTTGGCTCCCCGCAGCAGCCTCTTCACAGCTCTTCTCACCGTTGTTGTTGTGCCTGAATCTGGTGGTGTTTATGGCTCCCTAAGCAGCCTGCCAGCTCCACAAGGGGGAGGACCACGTCTGCTTTGCTCCCCACGGTGCCACCCCTGCCCCCAACCCTATGCCTGTCCCAGTGTCCCGCACACAGTCGATCCTTGGGAAACATTTACTATTTCTATTATAGTATTTATTAATTGCTATGAAGAAATGGCTGAGACAGGTAATTTATTTAAATATTTATATTTATTTATTTATTTATTTAGAGACAGAGTTTCACTCTTGTTACCCAGGCTGGAGTGCAGTGACGCAATCTTGGTTCACTGCAGCCTCCGCCTCCCGGTTCAAGCAATTCTCCTGCCTCAGCCCCCCAAGTAGCTGGGATTACAGGCATGTGCCACTATGCCCGGCTAATTTTTGTATTTTTAGTAGAGATGGGGTTTTGCCATGTTGGTCAGACCGGTCTTGAACTGCTGACCTCAGGTGATTCACCTGCCTCAACCTCCCAAAGTGCTGGGATTACAGGCATGAGCCGCTGTGCCCGGCCTCCAACACCCATTTCCTTTCCTTTCTTCCTCCCTTCCTTTCTCCTTCCACTGAATTGCTAATTACACTAGGTGAGGTGCACACGTCTTAAGGATACAGCTCAATGAACTGATGCTTAGGTATACACTCATGTAATCATTACTAAGATCAAGAGGTATATTATTGCAGTGTCTAGAAGGCTTCCTTGGCTTCTTTTCACAAACCACCCCCAAGGGACCTCATCCTGATCTCCAGCATCATACCTTTGTTTTATCTGCATATAGGATTGCATCTAAATCACCTCTTCCAGGATATGCACTTTATATCTGGCTGTTTTCATTCCACATTATGTCTGCCAACACCCTTTTTCAACAGCAAATAATTATTCCTTTACAATCCTGAAATGCAATTCATAGAATCCTTTCCCTTTACTTATGCTTTACAATCAATATGATGCCTTAATTATAATATAAAGAATAAATAGGGGATTTATTTATGCTAAAATGATATTTATTTTGATACATGAACGTCCTCATCTGACTTACCTAGAACAAGGCCAGCAAACTGTTTCTGCGGGAACCAGAGAGTGAATATTTTGGCTTTGTGGGCCACGTGGCCTCTGTTGCAAGTCCTTAGCTCCGACTTTGTAGCTTGAGGGAAGCCATTGACAATACATAAATGAATGGGCATGGCGGGGTTTCAATAAAACTTTATTGACAAAAATAGGAAGCGTGCCAGATTTGGCCAAGGGGTAGAGTTTGCAGACCCCTGGCCTAAAAAATGCAGTCACAGGCCTGTTTTGATAAGCAGAATCGCCAAAGATTATACATACTGCAGACAGATGCAGCCTGGCTATATCCACAACTTGAATAACGTGATTCAGGTTGCGCTGGTGATGTGATTTTCAGAATGGTGACCAACTCTTCGTAAAGTTCCAAACAAATCAAAGAACAATCTTCCCTTGATTGATATAGTGACTACAGTCCTGGATAATTCAGTATCTATTAGAACTGAATGGAAAATTCTGTGTGTGTACATAGAAAAGATAGTTGTGTTTTTGTTTTAAGACAGGGTCTTGCCCTGTTCAGGCTGGAGTGCAGTGGCACAATCATGGCTCATTGCAGCCTCGACTTCTCAGATTCCAGTGATCCTCCTGCTTCAGCCTCTCAAATAGCTGAGACTATAGGTGCATGCCACCATGCTTGACTATGTTTAGATTTTTTCATAGAGATGGGGGGTCTCACTTTGTCATCCAGGCTGGTCTCAAATTCCTGGGCTCAAGTAATACTTCCACCTTGACTTCCCAGAGTGCTGGCCAAATTTTCTGTGCCTAGAATCAAACTATCTTTTTTGGCCAGGCGTGGAAACAGCCAGGCACGATGGCTTACGCCTATTATCCCAGCACTTTGGGAGGCCAAGGCGGGCGGATTGCCTGAGGTTGGGAGTTCAAGACCAGCCTGACCAACATGGAGAAACCCTGTCTCTACTAAAAACACAAAATTAGCTGGGTGTAGTTGCACATGCCTATGATTCCAGCTACTCAGGAGGCTGAGGCAGGAGAACTGCTTGAACCCCGGAAGAGTAGGTTGTGATGAGCCGAGATTGTGCCACTTCCAGCCGAGATTCCAGCCTGGGCAACAAAACCCTGTCTCAAAAAAATAATAATAATAATTA